TCTTTCCCTCCCCATCTGTTCTCTTTCTCTGCTATTTATTTGTATCCTGGACCCCTTATTCCATTCATCTGAAGAAATGGGTTGTGCCCACGAAAGCTCATGATACATCTACATTTTTTGTTAGTCTCTAAGGTGCTGCAGAACTATTCATTGTTTTTATGCTCACTCAGAGTTCAGAAACAATACCTTGTGTGTTCTGATTGATCACAACTTAGCAACATTTGAAATGCTAGTGCAATTAAAAGTTCTTAACTAATCATGGAAAAAACATTGTAAATTCATTTACTACTCTGAAAAACAAGCAAGTTTTTACAATATGCTCACAAACATTTAAAACAAGAACAAAAAGATGCTAAATTCAGTAAACACGTTATTTGTAATGAATCATTCCCTTAGCTATATCATTGTTCATTTTTAAAGAAAAAAATACCAAAAATGTACATGAAGTAAGCAATTATTCCTTTCAGTGAAAGAATAGCATCGTACTTCAAAACAACTGGTAAAACGTGCATCAAAAAAACGGAATACTTTATTTTTAAAATATGCATTAGAGATTTTGGCATCAGATATGTATTTGTGGCAAGTATTTCTGCATTAGAAACACAGAGATAGTGATACATCATAGCTTTAGTAATACATATTAACTTAGGGTTTCTTGAACAAGACACTGAAATTCTGCAGCCACTGTTGATTGTCCCATCTCTGCATCACAATTCAGCCCCACCAGACTGGTGTTCCACTGTGTCCAGAGGACTGACTGGTGGTACACTAGTATCAGTGCCAGTCTTGCATGAGTAGGGCCTCCATGCTACACCAAGCTTCCACCTCATCCTCTTCCTGGTGGAACAACATGTGTACACCCCCCCAAGTATCGTGCCATTGGGCATGCCATGATACGTCACCATCAAAATGGTTTGCTGCAAACTGGGCTCCATGCTCACGCTGCTATGGAGTCTGTGCAGGTGACCAAGCCCAAAAAAGCCCAAGCACACTGCTTCTCCTTTATCTCATGTAAGGGGGAGGGACTAGATGAGTGCACTATGGGATGCTGGCGACATGAGCCCATAACCTCCCAGTTTTGGTCCCAGAATTCAAAACTGCCCATGGTGCCTCACTGAGTCAACGGAAGGCTCTCTAATGGGGATGCACTACTTTGGACAACATTTGATTCTGCCCCGCAGTGAAGACTCGGACCTTTGGTGTCACAAAATCGGGTGGTAAGAAGTTGATCATAATAGATTAGACCTTATCTCATAGTGTAGATGTTCCCTAAGAGCATAAGATTGGGCCCACTATCTTTAAAAGTTAATTTCTGCATATCAGAGCCTAATAAGAGATTCTATATCCTTCTAGTCTAGTTTGATAGAGCAATAGAGGGAATTTATTAAATTGTATTATCCTGAGGGGGGAAAATCATAAAACAGAAGTGAGCTTTAGAAGACAAATATAATAAAATGTCAGTTCTACTGTAAATGTCAATTCAAAGCAATAATGAACACAAGGGGTAATATAACAGGTTGTCTGGGACACCGCTGACAAATCAGGGCAAATTGCTCAGAACGAGGGCTACTTACAGCCCAAGACTGGGGCCCTTCCCAAACAAATCACAACAGAGAACTCCAGATCCAGCTGCCCATCTGGCCAGCAAGAAGCCTCACAAGCAACCCCCCGTGCCACAACCAGCACCACACCTTAAACAGATGAGAGGTCATAAAAACCAGTCTCACCAACTCTGAACCGGTTCTTCCAGTCCCAAAGGACCAGCCACAGTCCCAGGTCAATTTATACCTCAGATCTTATCCAAAAGAGCATGCTGTGCCAATCCTTTACAATCTAAAATCTAAAGGTTTATTGAAAGAAGAGGTTGAGAGTGAGATTTTAAACAGAATACATTACATACATCAATCGCCAAGTTCTTGATGCAGGCTCTTAGCACAGATGTAACAAACTGCTGGTTTAAAAGTCTCTGGAGTACATCCTATGTCAGGATGGGTCAACAAATCCTTCTGGGCCCTCTGTCCCTACCAGTGGTACTTCAGAAAGTGGAGGGCAGGAGCGAAGACAAGATGAAGGTCCCCTCATGATCCCTTGCCAATGTGGAGGGAAAATCCATTCTTCTCCTAGGTGCCGGTGCCTCCCAAAATGGGCTGATCACATGACCCACAAACCAGTTTGTCTTTTTTGGGCAAGGAGCCATAGAGTTCCCAAGTGTGTCCTTCTCAGGCAAGGGGCCATTGTGTGCTCTTGAAGTGTCAATTGGTAACCCTTGTCTGTGCAGTATTGAGCAAGTGCCCTTCCCAGTAGAAAATATTTAAAATATAAATACAAAGCCCATATTCATAACTTTTCACACACAGACTGTACATGAGTCCCCTAGACAGAGTCAACATATCATAAGCTCTCGTTTGACACCTCACATGGCACTCTTTGCACCAAATTTGGGACAACATATACTAGTGGGTGCAACAATGATCTGCCTACTCACATTAAAACCCGATAATGTGACACAAGGACATCAGACTCCATTAGCCATTCAAACCTTCTGAAAGAGTGGAATAGAAACAAAGTAATTTTAATTAAGATGAATTAGCTTTATAGCA